AGGTATGAAGGTGAGTACCGATTAGGAATGTATTCTTGGCTTTGGTCTTCTCTGAAAGGTGCTAAGAAAGTCTTGATCACGAATCATCTTGAAACTGGTATATAGGAGGAATGTGGCTATGTGTGGCTCATTAAAAACTGAGTGAAAACGATTCCACGTAATGCTCTTTAGAATTAGTAAACGATGAAGTGGTCAAAACCAGTCATCAAGTGCAGGCAGCCTCTGCTACTTGGCTATTCACTGGTAGCAGTTAGCTGTGGTCTCGGTGACTGGTTGGCTACAGAAGTTTGTGAAGGAGCTTGCCGTTCCCCTGGGGGGCTCAGGGAAGGTGAGGGGGGATAGAGAAGAGGGAGGCTGTTGAGTTGGAGAGGAGAGTATGAATAAGTCCAGCAAACAGAGAAAGCCCGAGAGTCGCAGTAAGAATTAGCCAGAGTGATCAGAGGAGATGATAGCCAGAGAAAGGAAGGGAGAGCTCACTTCAGACAGGGATGGTTTGCCCATGCCCTGCTGGTTCACAGGCAGCCAGACAACCGGACTGAAGGGCAGCTAGGCCAGGCATCTCCTTCATCTTATGCAGAAGCACCTTGTCCAAACACTTGAACTGAGTCTGAACTGGGCTCCTCATTATGCTTTGCTCAAGAGCCTGACATCCTGAAATTAAATAGAAAATAGGATCAAGCACATCATCTTGTGGCATAAAAATAAAGGAAAATATAAGCAGAAAAACAGGACTTTCTAGCAATGAGAAGAATCTCAAGGGAAAACAATTTATGTGTTCTAAGTACATGTAGTTCTAAGTATATACACATATTAAAAGCCCACAGACACCTTGCTTGTATCAACTTCAGAGAATAAATTGAAGAAGATTGTGTAAGCTTGGGACACACCCCATACAACAGCATGAAAGCTTAAATGAAAAGTGCATTCTATTTTTGACCACGGACATGTGAAAAATGTGTCAATCTCTGTGCAAAAGTAAAGAATACACTGAGACAGCCAGAAAAGACATGTGAGTAATGCCACTGACATTTAAAAATCTTTTTCTGTGTCTAAATACACCCTGGCAACCTCATGGTTGCCTGATAGAAGCAATGCAGTCACACCTGGTCCACATCAGATCATTTCCTCTTCAGCAATTGCCTAAGGACTATGTGGGGATCTGGGGACAGACACTAGCTAACGATAGCCTTAAACTCATTGTTTCTGAGTCAGACGCAAGTAGAATTTTGAATCATCTCTTGCTTGCATCCTTTTTTTTTTCCTTTTTACTCCTTCCCACCCAGAGAATACTGACCTCAATAGCAAGGAGGTATGCTCCATCCTCCACTGATTCAGATGCGGGTATTTAAATCCTTCTCATCTTTGTAACATGCAGTACAAGGAAGACTTTAACATGAGCAATAGACCAATTCAGCGAATCTCCAAAACCCACAGCAGTAACAGTCACCATGTAAAACAGAGAGGAGTGGTGTCTCCACCCAGCTCCAGTTCTGCAGTCTCCATTTTGTGGCCTCTTTTACTAACCACATTTCTTTAAACTTAATCACTGCTAACCCTTCCCTAATTGGACTTGGACAAGCCACTTGAGCACTGGACACAAGACCCAGAAAGAATTCAGGGCTGTTTGTGAACAGCTGATGATTTCCTGTGGTGACTGGAACTTCACACACACACACTTTAGCGATCCTGGGTTATACATGGTAATTGCCTATTTTCTGTTTAATTGATGAGCAGACATTCCTAAGGGAAAAGAAAAGGGAGCATCTTGGGTTTTTCCCCATTTCTAACTGCACTGAGAAGCTCTCGGCGGTAAGCAGGGGTTGGTCACCATGTCCTGTGGATTTCTCCCACAGACTTACTCAACGACGTACATCTTCTGCTGAAACTACCACTCTATGGACATTGCTCACAATGATCCAATTGACATGACCTTCCTTTTGGCAAGTCCTCTTATTTTCAGAGTTTTACTCTGAAACTCTGATCAGTAACCAGGAGTGGTAAGCCCTGCTTTTGGCTTCTCACAGGTGTTTTGGACTTCACTTAGGACACTCACCTTGCTTCTCCTTGTTATACCTCTTGATAGTCTTATATTTCACACCTTTCTAGACAGTAGGGCTCCTGATGCAATGCCAATAGTCTGCTGCATTGAATTGATTTAATTTGGTTTGAACCTAGTGACCTGCTAAAAATGGTTGGTTTTCAAAACAAGACATTAATTATTTTGAGTAAAAAAGAGTATGTTATGGAAAAAGAAAAATGTATAACTATAATGAAAAACATCCATTATACCACGACTTAGAGAGAGGCTTGTTATCCTTTGGAAGTATTGTTTTCCTTTCTTTTTTTCTAAAACTTTAATCAAACTATCTACTTTTTTAAAAAATAAAAAATAAATTATACCAAGATCATTTATGATTTGATATAATTCTTCTCCTGACTGATTTAAACGGTCACTTCTAACAAATTGAAATAATTTTTTTTTGTATTGAAATGGTTAAAAATGTCACTTTTGTTATATTGAAAAGGTTGTCAAAAGTAGCAGTCTCCACTTCCTCATCTCTCACTCTAGGAGGAATCCCACACCCACCGACTTCACCAAGATCGCTCTTTTCAAGGTAGGCAGTTTTGTTTAAGAACAAACCTTCATTTTGTTCTTATCTTACTCGAACCTTCAGCAGGATTTAACACGTTTCTCTACCCACTTAATGAAATACTTTCTTGTCTTAGCTTCAATGCCTGGCTGATTTTCCTCCAGCCTCACCGGCTACTTCTTCCCTGTTTCCATTGCTGCCTGCTGCCTGCCTTCTAGGGTCAGAGTGTGCAGAGCTTCTTTTTGAGACTCCTTTGCTTCTCTAACATTATCGCCTGTGCCCTGGCTTTAAATATCATCTATGTACTGATTATTGCCCAATGTGGGTGTCTTGAGTCCAATTTCTTGTCAGAACACCAGATCTGTATAGTCCACTGCCTATTTGTAGATACTTCCTCAAAATGTTGAATAGACGGGCCAGCGCGGTGGCGCTCCCGCCGAGGGTTCGGATCCCACATACAGACCGGTTCCCGCTCACTGGCTGAGCGAGGGGCGGGAGCAACGCCAAGGGTTGCGATCCCGTGGCCGGTCCCGGTCCGGTACGGGCGTGACACTGAGGGTTGCGATCCGTTGCCGGGCACGAAAAAAGACAAAAAGGAAAAAAAAAATGTTGAATAGACTTCTAAAACTCATCATATTTGAAACTCTTTATTCCCCATATCATCCCCTATCCTGGCCTTCCTAATGTCATTTACCTTATTCCTTTAGTTCATAGCTAGGATATATCCTTTATTCCTTTCTTTTCCTCATTGTCTCAATTCAGTACTTTTGACTCTTCCTCTAGAACATATCCCAAGACTGTCCGCTTCTTTCCAGCTCCACTACTAGTCCCTAAGTCCAACCATCTTCATCTCTTCCCAGACTACCCTGATAATTACCTAACTGGGTTGGCTGCTTCCATGCTGGACTCTTTGCAATCCACTCTACAAATAAAAAAACCCAGTGATCTTTATAACATAAATCAGACTATGTCACTCCTCTGCTTAAAAGCCTTCGAGTGTTTTCTTATTATACTTAAAAAATAAAATCCAAACTCTTTATCTTGGATGCAAAATCCTACCAGATCTAACTCCTGACAATCTCACGTTGTACATTGGCCTTGTCTACTCTACTCTACCCATACTGGCTTTCTTTCTGTTTCTTGACCAGACCAAGCCTGATACCTTTCTTTGGGAGGCTCTTCCCCATGAATTACACATGGCTCACTCCTTCTAGTCATTCATTTATTAGCTTAAAAGGCCCTTCTTCAAGTCATAATTATACTACCCTACTTGAATTAACTTTATTTTTCTTGTTTATTTGTGATATTTTTGTGTGCGTGTTGTTTGTTTCTCTCACCAGAATACAAAGAGAAACAGACTTGTCTACCATATTCAGTGTTGTATCCTCAGTGAATAGACCTTACAGCATTGTTTTTTAATGAATTAATGAGTGTGCAAAGGAGTGAATGTGTCACAGGCTAGAATTTTATCTATACTTGCATGTTTCTGTTTTATTTTTTCCTATTCTAATGATCTGTTCTTCCATTAAACGAGTAAAAAAGCAAAACAGAAATGAAACACACCCTTTAAATTGCTAAAGCTATCACATGCGTTTTAATATGTTAGGGATTATTCTAAATTATTCTAAACATTAGAATATTTATTCTCATTATTCTAAACATTCCTGGCTATTATTGCCTGTTTATTCCCCAAATGATCTGATAGTCTATATTTCTTAGTTTACTTAATCTTTAGCAAAAAGATTTTGTGTATTTCTTCCTCAATCATAGCTAGTTTTTATTTTTCTTGCTATTGTGAACAGCGTTATTCCCTATGCAAGGAAAGCCTATGAATTTAGGTTACCTACCTGGCCTTTAAGAGCATTTGAATTTGCAACTCCTGATATATACAGGAAAGCTAATATTTTTCTATATTTATTTTCTATATATTATTCATACTGGGATCTTTTATTGGTTTTAGTAGATCTTCAACCAATTCCCTTTAATTTTCTATGTAGAATATCATATCATCTACAAATAACAATAATTTGTTTTTCTCCTTTCCAAGAGTTAAACCCTTTATACACTCCCCCCAGCCCCAGTCTGGTTGCATTCAGTAGAACTACCATAACAATATTCAACAGGGATGGGTTATCCTTGCCTCAAATGTGACTTTAATGTGAATGACTCTAGTCTCCCTATTAATTAGATTATTAGATGCTGGGTTTAGATAGATTTTCTTTATCAAATTAAGAATAACATACCTTCTCTTCTAGTTTAAGTGCTTTCTTTTTAAGTCATGAATGGATTCATTATCACATGCTTTTTTTTTTCTTTTTGAGTAAGAATATCACTGTATTTATTTTCCTACAGGTAATTTCTCTGCAGCTTCAACATTTTCCCCTCAAAAGAGCAAAAAAATCCCGAAGTTTAGAACTGGATCACTTGGCCCTTTCTCTTCTTATCTCCTCCCAGTTCAAAATGCTTGCATCTCTTAATGGCCAGTATCCTCTTTGAACTGCAGTTAGGTTCAACACATTTGAGCCTTAGCACAATCTTCTTTGTGGTTTTATCTTTCTTCCGGAAAATGGTCCTTGTCTGCCCACCATAGCCACTTTGCTTCCAGTCGTAGCACCTCTTAACCTGGGCATACAGGGAATCCTTGCCCTTCTTATACTGGGTCCCTTTGTGAGGCTGATGCTTGCCACACTTCTTACAGAAAGTTCTCTGGGTTTTAGGTACATTGACCATCTTTGCAGTAGAGCTGTCTACACGATGCAAACAAGAAACAGCATCCATACTCATTGCCTCACGCCGCTGGCGCTGAACAGGAAAGGGAGGGATCATCACATGCCTTTTTCACAACTATTGAGATGTGTGCTTTGGGTTCTTTCAATAATCTATAGACATTAAAGGCTGTATAATTAATGGTAAGAGTGTGCCTCTGGAGCCAGACTGACCAGATTTGAGACTAGATTTGCCCGTACTGACTGTGTGGCTTTGGGCAGGTTATTTAAATCTTCCAATACTTCAATTTCCTCATCTGTAAAAGGGATACGATAATGGGACTCACCTAATTTATTCTAACAAGAATGATGTGAGTCAATACATAGGCAGATCTTAGAACACCAGCTGGCCACAAAACAGAGCAACATAAGTGTTTGTCCTTGCTTTTCAATCCTGAAAGAAACTTTACTTTGCCATGTCCTCTTAATTTACTGCTGAGTTTTCTCATCTTTATTTAGAAAAGAGAATGATCTCTAGTTTTTTTCATTATTCAACTTCTGTCAGGTTTGGTGTCAAAATATATGGCCTTTTAAAAATATGACTTTAAATTTTTTCTTTCTTTCCCCCATGCTCTGGGACAGTGAAAAAGAATGAGGGAAGAACAAAATTCAAGGACTGACACTACTCAACTTCAGGACTTATATAAAGCTACAGTAATACCCTAATGTAAACTATGGTCTCTGGGTGATAATGATGTGTCAGTGTAGGTTCATCAGCTATAACAAACCACCCTCTGCTGCAGGATGTCCATAATGTTGCTAACCTATGGATTCGTGGGGACAGGAGGTATATGGGAAATCTCTGTACCTTCCTCTCAAATTTGCTGTGAACCTAAAACTGCTCTAAAAAAAATTAGTCTTAAAACAAACAAACAAACAAACAAACAAACAAAAAAACTGGGAGTAATCTCTACCTTGAAGGTTTGAAAGGACTCATTCAAAACTTCCAAGACCAGCTTTCCTTAGAAGTAAAGTTTTAAAAAATGTTAAATTTTTTTTCTATGGTTATTAAGCATCTACTTAAATTAGTTTTGATAACTTATGTTTTCCTGAAAATGTTTCCATTCTTCAAGATTTTAATGCAGTATTTTCTTTTTCTCTCCTTAAAAATAAATTCGCTTTATATCTACCATTATATTTTCTTTCCCGTTTGTAGTCTTGCCTGTGTTTATTCTCTTTTTAACTTGATCAGTCCAGCTAGATATTTACTTATTAGTTTTTTCTCCAAATAATCAATTATCAAGTTTATTTTTATTCTAATATCTATTTTCTTATATATTAATTTTTGCTTCAATATTTTTGTATTACTGTCTTCTGTTCTGCTTTTCTTAGAATTGCTTGGTCGTCCTTTTCCTAACTTCTTGAGTTGAATGCTTAGTTAAATAATTTTAGTTCTTTGTTCTTTAATAATGAAAGCACTGAAACCTATAGACTTTTCTGTGAGCACAGAAGACTATACTTTCTTTACTTTTATCTTCTCCAGCTTTTATAGAAGATATATTGTGTTTGAAATTCCACATGTACATATGCAAAAGCATTTTACGTTTCTCTTCTTATATGATTATGAAGCAAATTGCCTCTTTAAAAAACAAAGAAACAAAGAATTTAGCATGCCTTCTACCTGTACTTCCTAACCATGTATATTTTGCTACCATAATTTGGAGGTTTAGGCACAGACCATTCATTGTCTTAAATAGGTTTTACATTATATGTATTTCCCATTATCAGTGGTCACCATTGGCCTTATATAATAAAAGTTCCCTATTCTTGAGCTCTTAATTTTTCTTTACTTTTATTAAGGTTTAAATAGATTTTTGAAGATTTTTGTCAAGCAAAGTTCATGGGTGATATATTTTCTAAGGTCCTGAATGTTCAAAAAAGTCCTATTTCCTTCATATGAGAAAGACGGCCTTGATGGGAGTAATAATCTAAGTCACAATATCATAACTTCAAAGCACTAAATTCACACTGTCCGATATGGATGCCATTAACCACATGGAACTATTTAAATTAAAATTAATTAAAATTAAATAAATGAAAACTTTGGTTCAATAATCACATTTCAAGTGTTTCATAGCTGCACATGAGTAGTGGCTCCTGTATTGCACAGCACTGATCTAGAACATTTTCATCAACACAGAGAGTTTTAGTAGCGAGCAGCACCTCATCTACACATTGATCCATGAACTTCTAGCATACAGAGTAGAAGACTGAAGACACATTTTTAAAAAATTTCTTTATACAAGGACCAAATTTTTCTACTTAGAATTTATGAACTTTTTAAATTTTAAATTCAACATGCACATATGCAAAATGTATATATGCAAAACAGCCTATAGCCGCTTTTTGTGAATAAAGTTTTATTACAGGACACAGTCCAACCCATTCATTTACTTATACATCTGTGGCTGCTTTTTATTACAGTGGCAAAGTTGAGTACTTGCAACAGAGATCATATGTGGCTCACAAAGCTTAAAATATGTACTATCTGGTCATTTACAGAAAAAGATTGCTGACCCCGCATCTCCTCTAGACTTATCCAAATCCTGCTCATCACTAAAAGTCCAGCTCAATGTTTTTCTTGAGTCTCCAGTCCACAAGATCGTTCTCTTTTCTCTGAATTTGTAGTTGTTACTGTCTGGGCCACACATTATTTTAGTTCACTTATTAGATTTTGTCTTGAGTTTCTTCTCTTCCTATAAGTATAGATTTTAAATATATATATATATATATATATATATATATTTAAAATGATGTGTCAGTGTAGGTTCATCAGCTATAACAAATCACCCTTATATATCTCAATTATAATTGTAAGTTTTTTTGGAAACAGGGACCAGATATGCAAGAAATACTTGCTGGCTGTCTGTAATATGCAAAGCATAATTCTAGTTGCTCTGGGGAATGTTCTGGATTCTTCACTGCAGTTGTTTGCCCCCGCCCCCCATCTCCATCTTTTCCCCAGGTGAGATGGGCAACACTTATTTTGAGATACTTGCATATGTGGTGCTGTGCAATTGGGGGATAGCTGTGTGAGATTAAAGAAGCAATTGGAGCCCCATCTAAGTATTTCAAGGTTTATCTCTTTGGTTAACAGCTTCTGGGAAGATTAATTAGCTGCTATTTATAAAGGGCTACTACTCACTAGCATAACTCTTCAAAAATTAATTGCCTTCATTGGCGTCGAAGGAACTTCTCTTCCTTTCAATCTATAGCTGGGTATTGAGGGTAGCCTCATATTCAGCATTGGGAAAAGCTGGAAAAGTGTGCAAACACTCTAAGAATATATGTTTAATGATGAAAATTTTGAGAAGTTCACAAAGAAGTTATATGTATCAATCTCTTGTGTTTTATCCAGCTTCCTTCCCTAACTCCTTGTTTCCATGTTCTTTCAGTCGTGTTTGCTCATGGGCTGAATGGTAAACTCCACTAGGGTGTAAGGTACTAACACTGCACACGCTCTTTACCTGTGAAACAATCTGCATAGTAGTAAAGAATTCAGGGTCTGGAGTCAAACCACACAATACTATCTCAGAAGGTGGTTGTGAGAATTTTATGAGATAATAATACATGTCAGGTTCTTAGAATAGTGCCAGGAACACTACAAGCAATCAATAAATACTAATTATTATTATTGTTCTTATTATATTATGAGACAGTTACTTTTTTTTTTTTAGAAAATATTTCCAGTGAATATTTAGTCACGTATGGTTTCTTTCAGACATAGATTTGACGAACTACTTGAAATAATGCTGGTAACCCAGTGTCCTAAATTCCTCATCAGTGAGACCATGACAATTTCTTTTCAAATGGTGCACTAGAAAATAGGAAATAAGAGCTCTTTACTTTGAAATGAGTTGAATACAAAAGCCTCTCACAGGAACCCTAATCACTATTTTATTTTAATAATAAAGAAATTAAAGACAATGAAAAATAACCTTCTAGTACTGACATCATTGTAACTGTATTTCTTTTCTTCTGAGTGAAATAATGAGTCTTATGTTAATATAGCCAAGGGCAACCTGGAATATGCAATCTGTGCAGGAACAGAATTGCTAATGTTTGCTCAGGACGGCAGGAAGCACACTCTCTGCCACCCCACTCTGAAAATAGAAAACCTATTTAGCACTTTGTAAAACATGCTAAATGAAGTTTGCTCTCTCCTGCAGATAGAGATTCTACTTCATTTTGTGCCAGCAAAATTTTTGAAAATTGCATGAGGAGAGAGCAATTTTTGGCACTTTGGCTAGGAGTACAAAATGTTAGCAAATGGTGCTGAAAGGATCTTAAGTGTAATGTTGGAATAATATTCACACAACACTGGCTGCATCTTTATTTTTAACCTATTTACATATTCACAAGAAAAAAATGCTTAGCTGTTATTTGACTAAAGGAGCCTACTTAAGGGGAAAATGGCATTCACAATTTTTGAATGCATTAGTCAAGAAGGTTGCTACGAATAACAATTCACAGAGAAAAATATCATTTCAGCTATCAAAGAAGAAGGGGAAGGATACAGGAGGAGAAATTCTGGAAGTCACAAAATGAAAGGAAGAAAGCAAAGGAGTGAGAACTCTATACTGGAAATTTCCAGAGTTAAGTGGACACCAAGAGAGCCACTAAACAAAGCTGACCAAGACTGAGTCAGAATTTTCAGAGTTCTAACAGGGCTCTCTTAAATTAGTGACCATTTGCTAAGTACAGAAGTCTCTCTACAATGGAAATACGCTGTCCATCTGCATAAAAAGAGTATCCTTTCATTTATAATACATTTACCAGCTATCTTCTATATTTATGGCACAGCAATAGAAACTGTGGCATATATATAGAAATCTCTATATATTTCTCACCCACAAAGAACTTACAATCAAGTTAGAGAAAGAATGCTATATTCATGAAACACTGAATAGGCATTTAGGAGGTATAGAGAGGAGGCACCAACCTTTGGATGCAGGTTGGTTTCTC